GGCTCGCCCCGCAGTCATAAATTACGACCTGCGTTTAGAGTCCTGGGTATGTGTCCGCCCCACAGTCATAAGACTTGAACTTGCGGGGAAGTGACAGTGGCAGAAATCATTTTGGGAGGGGGACTTCGCGCACTGGGGACAGTGACATCATAGGTGCAGTATAGGCTTCTCTGGGATCGGCAGGACTGAGATCGAGGATCGGGGATTCTTGATGGACTGGGTCTGGACTTCGACAACCTTCTCTGAGGTCTGGTCGGGGCGGGTTTGATGGAGATGGTCTAGGCTCTGCACGTGGTGTCTCCTACTTCTTCCGTGGTGTTCCGGGAACTCCCTTGCTGATTCTCCAGTACGCAAGCCCTCGTGGCTATGGCATGGCAGACATCAGGCTTCTTGGGCGTCTCTGATACATCTTCTTCGTCTCATACGTGCTTCTGTGCTGCGGTAAACCTATCGCCGAGCTCCACCGACTATCTCCAGCTCCCAAATAGGGCAGTGCTTCCTGATCACCGGGATCTCCATGTCCTTCTCTTCTCTGATCCCATGAGCGGGTCATGCGCTGATGCCGGACACAGCCTGGGTTGCCATGCATAATCCTGATGGCCGACTGACGCTCGTGTGTGCTGAATATCTTGCGCGTTGTGCGCTCCTCTCCTTCCCTCGTCCACTTTCTCCTTCTCCTGGGCCATTCCTCCACCGTACGGCGCCGTCCTTAGCCTAGCCCTGGGACGAGTGACTCCGTGATACAACCGACCTCGTACGTCCTCTGCTAAGGGTGGGTAACACGTTCTTGACGTTGCTGGGGACAGATGGCCATACACGGTGCCAACCCGTTCAAGAACGGTCGGTTGGGGTGGTGATAACTTATTCCTTTCCTTGGTGCGTCGTGTGTGTTCTTCGTCCATCTTCAACTCCCAACATCTTTGGCAGCGCATCTTCATCCGGCGATGTCCAGAGCTCAGGGACGGAGGCAACGAGCCATGGGCCCTGTTCATCGTCCCCTTCCAAGTATGTCCTTCTTCGTGTACTCTGTTGCTCCTTCCGCTGACTCCCTGTCTAGCTTTCCATAGACCGAGCCCCTACCGTAGACGGTTGATTGCGGCTCTTTACGACATGTAATGACCCTTATGACCCTTATACTCGCTTTTTAATGACAATAGACAGTGGTAAACATCTTGCGTGCGCAAGTGCGGGTGCGTGATGCTTGGGTATGCTTGTCTGTGTTGCCTGTCTCTTCTCCCTGTAACCCTCCCTCGCAATGAATGCACACTGGGTGTCCTCTCGAATACGGGTGTGTCATCAGTGGCTTCCATTGCGATAGATGGTTGCACTGCGATGGGGCATGGTGAACACTGTGGGTCTATAGAGCTGGGGAGTTCGGCGGTACGGGCGGAGTACTCCGTGCTTCAGCGAGTGAGGCGACTTCTCCGTTGGATGTGGTATCTTCCCAGTCATCATCCATGCTATGGTCCGAGTCTGCGGTGTCCGTGTCGGCTGTCATGCTGAGGTCGTCAAGGGTCTGTGAGGTGAGAGTCTGCAAGACTGAGACTTCTGCCTCTGGTGCGGTGACCCATTTGACTCGCTGTCGGTGTGCACTAAGTTCGTCTGCCTCAAGTTCATCCATGAATTCCTCTATGTCCATCTGGGTTAGGTGCGGGAGGAAGCGCGATTCCGATGACACAGGCGAGTTGTGCTCGCTGAGTACAAGGGAATCACTGGATTTCTGTGCGACTGCACGGTCCACTGCTTCCGCTTCCTTGACACGTTCCGTTGTGTGCGGGAAGTAAATCATGTGCAGGGCAGCATGGCCTTCTCGGTACACTCCGTCAACCTTGATAAGCATGTTCCGTAGCAGGAATAGCTCCTCATTCTTTACGCCGTATGTCTTCCAGGACTCGTTGAGGATCATTCGGTCCGCTGAGAGAACCTCCGGGATGTCCACGAATGGCTTGGCCTCTTCTTGGTCATGCTTATGATCCACAAGGTACTTGATGAGCAGGTCGCGATACATCCGGTTCTCAATGGTGGCGTCACTTGGACCATCTTCATGGGGTGACTTGAGGTCTACGTCCCACGGGTCCCGGTATGATGGAACGTAGGGGTCTGCCTCAATGTTGTCCTCTTCTCCAGCTTCTTCGGCTATGGTTGGAAGTGCGCGTGTGTCCGTTCCATCCGTCTGTGTGCCTACGTCCTTCTTGGTTGGGTCCATCATTTCACGGAGGCGGTGTGTCTCAGAGAAGTCCATCACGGGTATGTCCGGGTCTTCTCTTCTGATAGAGGCACACATCTGTGCTGCACGATGCCATGCCATCTGCTGTGCTTGCAGCGATGAGAGGAGAAGTTCGTATGTCTTCCGGCCATCCTGGGATCGAACTCCAATCATGACTCCATCAGCGGAATGGCGGAACCACATCTGGTTACGGTGCTGCCATGGCTGGCCAAGAATGCCTGGTGTGGTGAGGTTGTCGACGATATGGAGATCCGTGACAGATGTGATGCTCCCAAACTTGAGTGGTGTCCTCCAAACTCCTCGGTCTTTGAGTGGCTGTCCATTTGCATTAATGAGCCGAAGGTTGTGGCGGGGCCGATGAAGTGATCCTCCCAGAGCCTTGTATATGTCCGTGTGGATGCAGTCTACCTGTGATCCCGTGTCCAATAGGAACGGTATCTCCAAGTGACCAATGGTAATCCGTAGGATGATGAGCGGTGGAGGCTGTGGCAGATAATGCATGTGATGACGGCCCATTGGGACTACACTTCCAATGGTGATCGAGTTTACAGGTACCCTTGGCTGTACTGGCTGGGATGGCAGTATGCTGATAAGCACATGTCCACGGTAGCTTCCGAATTGGTTGCTAAGAGAGGCATTGGGAAGGAGGAATGTGGTGAACTCCTCTTGCGTGGTGTCATGGAACATAAACGAGTGGTGCGCGGCAACTGTGGTCGGTCCGGTCTGTGAGATGTGACTGAACTGTGGTGTCTGAGGTGTTTCTCTCATGCTCGGTGGTTGCGTTATGACCGTGTTCAGCTGTCCAGCTAGTGGAACCATGATGTCTCCTCGTGGCGGAAGGATCCGGGTGTGCCATGACCTCTCCATGTCCTCGTCGTCTGCATCGTAGCCGGCATTGTCGGTGTCAGGATTGAGGAATGGACTATCCTCATCATTAGAGTCATTTGACGGGGTTCTGATGGACTCGTCATCATCCGAGCTGCTCTCTGAGTCAGTGACCAAGTCGGGCAGGTCGTCTGAACTGTCTGAGGTGTCAGAGGCACTGCTGTCTGATGCGAGGTCGATGTCCTGGATGGGTCCTACAATGTCATTGGCTGTCCACTCCTTGATGGTGGCATAGACTCCTGGGACTTCTGATGCTGGCATCGACGACATACTGGGGAGTGGGTCAACAAGCATCTCTGACTTGGGATATCCTGAGGTCGGCGGGAACTCCAGATACGTGCCATCAGGCTTCTCGACGATTGAGATCTTGTGAGCCTGCTGCCAAGGTCGTCCGAGTAGACCGTCAAATGGAGGGTTCTCTGCAATGAAGGCATTGATTGGCGTGCTGATGTGGCCGAGCTTCAGAGGAATGTTCTCGACTAGCCCCAAAAGGTGACCAGTTCCTCCGTTGGCATCCTTCATTGCTATGGCTGCACCCAAGTTGATTGGCCTGCGGACTATGTTCTTGCAGACTGCCTCGCTGATAATGTTGAGCTGAGACCCGGTGTCGACAATGAACGTGACTGGCATGAAGTTGCACTCCATTTGAAGGCGGATCAGGGAACCCGTGCGTGATGTGATCAAGTTTGTCGTTGGGAGGATTGATGCGACCGGGACTGTGTCAACCTTCTTGAGCTTGAGCATGTCAATCAGGCTGCTGGCGACCTCGCGAGAGCATCCTGCAATCTCCCGGACTGGAAGGGTCACAGGTAGATCTAGAAGCTTTTCTGCAATCTTGACAGGGTCAACAGTCTTGCTGACGTCTGATGCACGTGGGG